TTTTTCTAGGTGGATTTATACTTTAAGGGTATCCTACGCTCTTCTAAGGATGACAATGTCAAAACTTTTGATGGTAATTCCATGTTTGGAGATGTTCCTAATAACTTGGAAAAGAGTCCAATGATCACGAATCAGGTATCTTAATCTTATGGGTTCTCTTTAACATAAACATATAACTCGTAATTGATTCCCTTGGTCATTCAGGAACTGGATTATTATGTTACGCAATATAAGGCCAGAGGATTTCATGGAGCACTAAATTACTATAAAACCAGAAAAGTGAACTTTCAAGATGAGAAAGGTAATTTTTATGTTAAGAAGGATTTACACAAGAAAATCTTTTTCAAATTTAAACATTTTATTTGTTTACATTTGTAGGTGCTAGAAAGCAAATACATCATCCTGCTCTTATGGTAAATATAGAACAAAACATTGTGATGATATATATGAAATATGTTAAAGTCTTTATTCCTTTCCCTTAAATAATCACGTGAAATGAATAGATTACTCTTGGCGGAGATATCTTTCTTCCTCCCTCAATCACCACGAATATGCACAAGTATTGTAAAGACTTAACGATAAGTGTAAGTGATGCACAAAATTTTAAAAATTGCGCACCTTTATAACTTTCCAATAACGTCCGTTAATAAATCGATTTAGAATATTGAAGATTGTTCTCATTGGGTTATGGTTGAACGAACCCAAAAACTTCACGATATAATTGAACCATTTTTGGATAGCATACCACAAAAGGAAATTCAGAATACCGAAAAGGGGTCAAGTAAAGCAAAATCTACATTTAAAGCTAAATTTTAATTATGCAATTCTTAATAAAAAAACTAGTTACGCTAAATGGCTTACGAGTGAACAGAATCAAAAAGATTCATCATTTATAAATGGATTATGTCTTTTTCATAAATCGATTCCTTTGTTCGATGCGACCTTTATTTAAACAGCGAAAATAAGAATAAAAAAATAAAAATAATCTCATTCTGTTTGCTGCGGATCATAGACACGATTTGGATGAACATCATTGCTGTAAATCCTTATTCGATATAGGAAATATTATATACTTATTTTCAAAATATTTCTTGCAATTTTCAAAGTGTCGGAATTCGGAGTTCATATTGTTTCTAAAAATGCACGATCCATTCTAAACGAATTGCATAAACAAAGATTGGTTTTTAAGGAACCATCGGGTCTAATCATGTAGTAGAGGAGTTTATCGCAAACCATAAATAAAGCAGAAAATTTCTTTTCTTCGTCGATATGCCAAATTATTGTGCATATCTTTCATTTTATTTATTATTGGAATAAAAATTATTAATAATCAAGAAGATAAATTTTAAAATCATATTTATAATCTTAATATCGCTGGTAAATTTTGCGCTTTCTGATATGGAGGATTTACAAGGATTATTAAATCCTATGCTTTACGTTACGTTACTTCAAAAT